CTTGTATTATCGATATTGTATTCTAAATAAAGTATAATCTTTGCTCTTTCATTAACTTTGTAACGAACTGCCATAGTAAAGTAATATTCTACTTAGACACCGTTGAGAGCCTCTCTTCCGTGTCTTATGTTACTTGTGTTAAATTAAGAAGGCCGACACTTGTAACACTACAGATATTTTACAACTACAAGTCTCTTCATGCAAAATTATTACATAATATAAGTATTTTTAGCATCCAAAGTATGTATTATAATAATATTTAAGTTTGGTATTTGCTGCATCCATAAGATATTTGATTTGTAAAAAAGTAAAAATTTTATTATTTTTAAAATTTTTTATATTTATTTTAATATTTAGATTCCTGATTTCCAAATTTCTGTGTAATATATAATACATAAAATTTACTGATCATAGTAATTTGAAAAGTGCTCTAAAATACTGATTTAATAAAATAGTATCTAAAATTTTATTTGATAAAAACAAAAAAACTTAAAAAGTGAGTTTTACTAAATTTTTTTTTCAAGAAATGTAAAATTTTTGAACTAATACTATTAAAATATAAGATTTTAAGATGATTTTAATACTTACTAGAGGTGAAATTCATTGGTTATATAATTAACTAATAAAATCACAAGATCTTATATAATGATAATAAAGAAATTTTGAAGAAAGAAAATAAAAATCATTATTATTTTAAAATTTTATTAAAAAAACTTGTATTTGTCACTAAGTAAAAGTTTTTACTATTTAATTTTACATATAATAAATATTCTAACTCTAATATAGACCTCGCTCTAATCTTAAAGTTAAAGAAAAAATGAGTTATTTATTAAGAAATAATTAAGCAAAAATATATATTAGAAAATTTTATCTCTGATTCACTAGTTAAAAAGATAAAATTTGATTTTTAATCAGAGATTAAATTTCAAATTTTTAGTAAAATTCAAGTTAAATCAATTGAAAAATTTGATCTATAATCTATTTATAATTGATCTAAAAATTACTAATCAGCTTAAAATCAGTATTTGATTTTAAGTTGAATAGTTAATTTTAAAATTTAATCTAAAATTAGACTCTGAATTTAAGTTGAATTTTATAACTATTTAACCTAAAATTAACTTTTAAATTTTGAGATTAATTTTAGATTAAATAGTTATAAAATTCAATCTAACTTTAGAGTCTAATTTTAGATCAAATTTTAAAATTAACTATTTAACCTAAAATTAGATACTAGTTTTAAGCTAATTAATAAGTATTAGGTCAATTATAGATTAATTATAGATTAAATTTTTTAGTTAATTCAATCTGAATTTAACCAAAAATTTGAAATTCAACCTCTAATTAGAGATTAAATTTCATCTTTTTAATTAGAAATTTTTCTTAAATAAATTCAAGATTTTATTATATTTTAACTCATTTATACGGCAATCTAGTTTTGGTGAGATGTGATTTTTCTATTTTTGTTTTTGCCCATTGTGTTGGATCCGTTTTTGGTGAAAAATTGGCTAAAAAAGGTTATTTGTTGCAACACGAAGTTGAAAGCGTTGTATAGTTTACAGTCTTGTTTTGGTTTATTGGTCTTGTTTTTGTTGTGCAGAGTAGTGCAGAGCAAAGAAGAGCAGAGCAGACTTCACAGATCCCTCGATGATTTTGCAAATATGTTTTTGAATGAATACGCAATTTTTTGCTATTTTATCAGAAAAATTTAATGTTTCTTGTGAATATATTATAATCGATTTTGTTGTTTTTAAATTTACAATTTTTTTCTGGTCGGTTTTTTTACCATTCTGATTAATTGATAATCTATTGAGGTTTTTTTTTTTTCTCCTTTGTAAGAAGTGAAACATTTTCGTATAACTACTGTATGAGCAAATTTGTTAGATATTAAATTTTCTTAGTTATGTCAGATTATCTTATTATTATATATATTACGTCTATTGATATAGATTAAGCGTATTTAAATTTTGTTTCTGTTCCGATCGTTCGATTCGATGTTAAAACATTTGATAAAAATTTTACTAATCTGATAAATAGACATATTTACTCTTGTATGTTGATTTTTGAATTAAGCTCACTGTACTATGGAATCTATAATAATTAACTTAGATAATAAATTTTTTTTTGATTAACTATAGTATATATTTACATACAATTTTTTTCTCTTTTTTTGATAAGAATTTCGATTCGTTAATTTATGGATACTTGTTACATGATAAAGTGATATTTTCGTTTTTAAATATGTTTAATTAAAATTAAAATATTTAATTAATAAAGATTGAACCTTAAATCCTGTGAAGATATCTTAATACGCCACAACAAATAAAACTATAAATTACCTAAAAATATGACTCGTTTGGTGACGATAAGTAAGATTAGTTACGATGATCTGCAAATGATGTATTGAAGAAAATAGTTAAGTATAACACATGGGCAATATGCTGAAAGGAAAAAGCTAAGTATGCAACATGAGCAGCATGTTTGAAAAGATGCTAGGTATCGGGTATCGGGCTCAGATTGATGATAAAAAAAATGCAAAATTATAAATGAGTCATAAATAATATGATTCTTAAAAACCTTTTTGTAAAAATCCGTGAAATTTAAAAAGCCTTGGCTACGAAAAAAGTAAAATTTTTAACAAAAGCCTCTTGAGCCTCTTGCTAATGATTTGTTATAAAAATGCTATAATTTCATTATTAAAAATGACAAAACTTTCAAGTCAAGATTTCTATAATCGATAAATTTTCGGTTTAATAAATCGTTTTAAAATTATACTTCGAGATTATCCTCTAATCGATTATTCTAATAAATTTTTTTGCACATAAATCTTATTATTTGTTTCTATATTATTATTTGCTATGTCATCCTTATTCGTGGCTTTTTGTCTCGCTAAAAATGTTACGAGAAATGATAATTACATCACTGGAACTGCATTGTATCGAATAAACAGCAATACTAATCAATTTAGAGAAATTACTTTCAAAGGTTTCACCAGAAATCCTGAATCGTTAGTTACTCCGTTCGAAAAAAACTCTATTCTCTTAATGGTTGGCTATTATGTATATGAAGAAAACATAGAATATGTATATACTATTTAGTATTTTTGTTTTCGGCAAAGATATTATAAATCTAACTCTTACTTTATTGTTTCTCTTAGGTCACTATAATTCAATCTGTTCCTGTATCTTATTCTAATGATGAATACACTCTTACCTCAGAAGACCTTCTGAATTCATCTCCTTTGTTACTTTACTCAGCTTCTGTGGTACTGAATTCTTATATTCCTGACAATAATGGAGGTCGAGAAAGTTTTATGTTAGCGAGACGTCTATATAATGGAGTCACTAACAATAAACAGATCGATTCTAAAGTTATCGTGTCATATATAAATGAAAACAATCGTTATAATGCATTAAAAAATAATCTAAAAAAAACAGTCTTATCTGTTGTAGGACGATTAAAACTTGAATCAAGAAGACTTCTGCATGTTCTCGCTTCTGATATTGAATGGACCTATTTGACTAATGACTCTCAAACTTCAGATACTTCATCTAGTGGAAAAGTATCTTCACAAGGAGAACTTGACACACAACTTGAAAGCATCGAAGAAAAATATGTTACGCTAACATCACAATTCCCTCAAAAGAAACAAAGAACTAATTTACAAAATTCTTTATCTAAACTCTCGAATAACAAAACTACATCTCCGAATTTTGTTGAAGTTGTCTCCCAAATTCAAAAAGAAACTTCTTCTGCGGGACCTTCTCGTATAGAATCTACCTCACAAATTATTAATAATGAATCTAACTCACAAGTCACAAATGAAACTTTCGCTCCTACTACTTCTTGTGCAAATAAAACAAATGTTTCTGTTAATGATAATCTGCTCACTGAATCTACACACTCTGATACTTCTATTATTCAAAGTGAAAAACCTAAAACTAATAGAAAATGTTTAAAAACACTTCTGCCTGCGAAAAAATAAAAAAATAATTACTCTTTGTAATATCTTTTTTATATATAAAAAGCCTTAACTACTTATTTATCGTACATATATTCGATAAAAATATTATTTTATTCGTGATACTTAATTTTATAAAAAATATTAAAATTATTACGAGTGATCATAATGCTAATCAAAATGAATATTACGATTAATATTTGTTGATTTTTATTTATCAAATGTTATTGACGAAATTATAACTCTTATCGTTAATTAAATCCAAAAAAAACATTATTCTAAATCTACTATTTTTAAACTTTATTGATATTAAGTTATTGTACCAAATAAAAAAATTATCAACAGAATACTCTATTGATTATAAAATTTTGTAAAAAGAAGCAATTTGTATGATTTGTGACTCTTTCGAATTTTATTAAAAAAAAAACTTCATATTTTATTATCTATTTTATCGTGATTAATTAATGATGCATTACTACAACTCTCAATTAAATGAAATTGATTAAATTTTTCTTGGCAATCAATTATTTGACACTTTTAATTTAATATCTTCGATTACGTGTTTACTTGATTCGTTTGATTAAATGCATTTGATGAGCAGATACTACCATATTTTATCGTTAATAAATTTAAATCTTTTAAAATTTATATTATTTGAAATATATATTTAAAATACGATTTTTATTTTGTTTTTAAATTAAAAACTGATTAATATAATAAATTTATTCCCGTTCTGATTTTAGAGAAACAACATCACAGAATTGTATTAAAATATGAATTATACTTGTAATCACGTCTATAATAAATTATTCTATATTTGTAATACACCATGATAATGAGGCTATGAAATATAAATGTGACTGACGCGAAATAAAAATTGATCTTAATAGTAAATACGCGAACGGTATGTTAAGAAAAGAAAACTGATTATCAGGCTAAAATCAAACAAAAAAAAAAGCACAATAATTTTAAATAAAACATCAAAACACGCAGTCAACATGTTAAGAAAAAGCCGTTTATCGGGCTCAGACTAAAAAAAAAAAAATCTTTAAAATATTAAAATTGTTGTTAATTAAAATATTTAATAAATTATTAAAACATAAAAGCCTTATCTTAATTTTATGAATTTAAACTATAAAGTAATTTAAATAAACCAAAGCCCCTCTCTTAAAGAATCAGCTTTATGATTTGAGCTATGAAGAAAATATAATAATTAATCTAAAAATTTTTATATCTTTTTGTTAACATAAAATTATAAAAATACTATGATTTCGTCGTTATAGAATCAAAAAACCTTCGCTGAAAATACTATTAAAAATATCATAAATAAACTTAAATTCAGAATCTTTAATTTTTCTGTACTCTTATTTGTTTTGTATCGCATACTGAATTTCATCCCATAACAATACCAAACTTTTGAACTCACTACCAAAGAATAAATAAAAAATAAAAATGCCCGATTATAATATTCAAACTTTTCATCTTACCTCTTTCACTGAAATATTAACACGATCCGATGATGATCCTACTATTTCTCTTACTGATAACATTTTTAGATTATATACTCTCAGAAATGAAATAAATCAAAATTTATCGAATGCATTTACTAATTTTAATTTCCTCGAATTATCACTTCCTTCATATGAGATTAGCAATTTTTCATATCAACACTTAACCCTAGCTCTTTGCCGTCTCATACATCAATTTCAAACAAAAATCTTATCAGATTATCCGAATATTCCTTGTGCATATTGTTCAATTCTTATATCGAACTCTTCTGTACAATAGATTAACTATATTGAAGATCACCTGTATACAATGCTACAGGTTTTCTCACTTCCCGTTCACAATAAAATAAATAATAGAAATGTTATTCGAGTTGCTGTTTGCAATGGATGTAAGAATGAAAAAACATGCTGCTATCCTCCTGTATTAGCTCACGTTCCCCCTCAAATAAATAATGTTCCTATGATGTACAGAAAATATCTCTCTCCTGTTTTCATGAATTGCTTACTAGGTCGAACTGCAGGTGCAAATCCTTACACCAATTATCGCCATCTTGAAGGAACTATCAATCTATCACATAATTACAGAACTTTTGAATTATATTCCAGATTAATTGGATGTTATTTAAATATCAACGAACCACCAAATTGGTTCCATCATTCTTTGATTCCTGCTTTTGAATAGCTCAAACAAGCAAATCCTCTTATTCGTGAATATGCATCAAGTATAACTATTAGCCATCCAACTCCAACAACACCTATTCCTATCCCCTTACCCTTAGCCCGACAATCACTTTAAGCTACTACTCATTCTACTAATATATACTGAAGTAATATTCCTGATAGTTTACCCCATCCACTCGATTTAGTTGTTCTGAATAATTCTTTTCCTCAAAAAATTCATAAC